TGGATTGACAGATAAGTATGTGTTTTTCACTGGTATTTAGCAAAGGGATCTTTGAAGATTACATCATTGCTTTGGTTATGATCAGAGTATAAGGCCGGGTATTAGTTATGGAAGAGAGCTTTACATGTTCTTTAACGGATTGAAACGATATACAGATGCTCTATGCAAGTGAAATGATATGCTAATCGACAATTGCTTTGTTTCTTATCACTGTTGTGTAAAATTGTTTTGTCAAGGAATACACTCAAGATTTCAATAGATGTGACAGTTCTTGGCGCGGCGCACCAAGTTGTGTTTATTCATACCACGAGCTGTTTGGTGGTGCCTTTTTTTCCTGTTTCTTTTTTAGAGCTCTTGTGCCACGTTTATCAAAGATGTTCTGCTTCTCAAATGTCCTCGAGACAAACCTGAAACCTAAGGCCAAGAAGCGACTGCTTTGAAACCAAAAATAGCCTCGGGCTTTTTCTTGTTTATCAAGAACAGGTCAACACAATGGCAAACATGGGATAAAAGGTGTCTCAGTTGAGTAAACGCGACAAGATGTGCTCGTTTTCACAAATGTGTCAAACAATTTATTCTGTATGATTGCTTTGCTATTTTCAGTGTGTAAACAGAGCAGATCTCATGAATTCTTTGAAAGTCTAGCAGGCGTTGATTGTTTTAAAGCCGATCATCGCTTAACATAAGGACCCTGACTGGCTCAGCGGTAAATATTTGTCATAACCAGCGGTTTCTGTCTGTTGAATTTTAATTAGCAATAGCCGTTTGCGTGTCGTGAAGTTTCGAAGGTCGTTAGAGTCGAAGTTTCGAGCAAACAAGCGACAAAATGGATATCAAGACCGTAATGGAAAATCTGGAAGAACTAGTAACTTGTCATATATGCTCCAACGTCATGCGAAATCCCAAAATTGCACCTTGTCTTCACACGTTCTGCTCCGAGTGTCTCAAAGAGGTTGCCAGAAGTCGGCCATATCAGACGACCATCGCGTGTCCACTTTGCCAATACGATATTCGCAAACCAGAGGGAAACCGGTTCGATTTGTTGCCGTCAAATTTCTACATCACTCGTCTCCTTGATCTCCTCATCGCCAAAAGACGTCATTATCCCGAGGCATCCTGCGGCAACTGCCAAAAGAAGTTGATGCTCAGTGCCTTCTGTTTCGCGTGTGACACCTTTATGTGCGAGGAATGCTTCAGTGCACATAATGTCATTACGCGAAGTAACGGCCACCGCACCGTGAGCCTGGGAAAGTTCAAACTACGTGATTACGAAGACATGCTTCGACGCCCGATGCGCTGCGCTCATAAATTCAAGGAGAAAGGAGTCGTGGAGTACTTTTGTTATGATTGTGATGCCTCTGTCTGCCACATCTGCAATATCGCCATTCAACACACGCATCGCATTGTCGACCTCCACGAGGCCGCGAGCGAACAAAAGTTGAAGTTTCGGGAGATGAACACGAAACTCAAGGAGAAGATGCGGATGGTGGAACTCGGCGTTCACAACGTCGAGCATCGTTCAATGGAGGTACAGGAGCAAGTCGACTACTTGAAGAAAGACGTGACAGAAAAGATGGACAATCTCGTCTCAATTATCCGAGCTCATCAAGAAGAGATGGTTCAGACACTGGAGAACATTCGAAGAGACAAACTCGAGAACCTAACATTTCATCTGAAGCTCTTTGAATCGACGATGTCGCAGACCGAAAGCTCTTTCAACTTCATCGAAGATCTGCTTCAACGAAACATCAGCGAGGAAATTATGCATGTCAAGAACCACGTCACGTCACGCGTGGGGGAGATCACGAATCTCGAGGTGGGCACGAACCCGGCGGAAAACGAACAAGTCGGCTACGTACCGAACGCAGAAATCTTTGATGGGCTCCAAAATTCCAAGCTGGGCAAAGTTGTAACTAGTCTCACGGAACCATCCTTGTCAACTGCTGAAGGAGACGGAGTGGACGACGTGTCAGCAGGGGAAGAGGCCGAGTTTACAGTGACAACTAGAAATGCCCAGGGTGAAGTTTGCTACAGCGAAATCGATCACGTGGTTGTGGAAGTGAAGTCCTCGATGTGGGGCCTCATAGAAAGCAGAGTTCGAAACTACAGAAATGGCAACTATGACGTCAGTTACCTCCCCCGCGTGCCAGGACCGCACCGAGTGCAAGTTGAAGTTGGCGGCCATCTCATCAAGGACAGCCCCTTCATGGTCGAAGTCAAGCCACCGATTCTATCCCCATTGAAGTCCTTTGGATCTCACGGCAAGGTGGATGGAAAATTCACTCAACCACACGGAGTGGCTGGATCAAGCGCTGGACAAATTGTCGTTTCTGACAGTTTGAAGCATCGTATACATGTATTCACAGCGGACGGAGGTCAGATCCTCGACTTCGGCGAAGAAGGAACGAAGGATGGCAAACTGTTCCACCCGATGTCCATAGCCTTCGACAAGAGCCAGAAGTACATACTTGTCGCAGACAGTGACAACAACAGGGTGCAGTACTTTGATGTCAAGACTGGCAAATTCGTGAAAAAGTTCGGTTCCGAGGGAAGTGGTCATGGTCAGTTCAACGGTCCGTGCGGCATATCAGTCGACCAGAAAGACCGTGTGATCGTCACTGACTGGAACAATCACCGGGTCCAGGTGTTTAGTCCTGACGGCAAATTCCTTTTCAAGTTTGGAGATGCAGGCAATGACAGACTTATCCATCCCAGGTTTGCCCTGTACCATGATTCAGAAGAGCGTTTTGTAGTCTCTGATACTGGTAACGATGTAGTGAAAATCTATGACCAGAATGGGGATCTGCTAAGAATAATCGGTAGGCCAGGCCATAAGAAAGGGGAATTTTGTGGTCCTCGAGGGCTGGCTATAGATAAAAATCAAAACATAATTGTTTGCGATTTCGAAAATCACCGTCTACAGGTTTTCAATATTAAGGGGGTTGTTCTTAACAGTTTTGGAACAAATGGGAAGGGAATCGGGCAGTTTGCATTCCCATTGAGTGTTTCAGTAGTTGGTGGGTCACGAGTTATAGTTAGTGACTGGGGAAATAATCGTATTCAGATTTTCAAATACAGAGATTCCTCGAACTAAACTAAATAGTCCTATCACGTCATATAGACAATAGTTAGAATGTGTCGCTTTGCATAAATAGCAAATTTTCATCATCCCGAAAAAATCGCTTTGCTACTCAAAGTTTTGTAGTAATTAATAAGTAGTAGTTTTATATGTGCCATGTAGGCCACAGGAAGCGATATGGCTGGGTGACAATGACTTATAACTTTCATTTTAAATGTTATGACATAATGCCATTACCGTTACTCAGCAAGGAAAAGTGATTTACGTACAAAGTGCCCAATTCTCCCTAGGAAAACATATTCTAAACGCACGAAAACGGTAGCAAAATCGTAAAAACGTACAGAAAGTTCTAAAATCTTTAGATCTAGGAAACACGATGTAGTTAGTAAAGACAAAATTTTGGGAAAATATGGCTCTTGCCTGATGCGCCTTGCTAGGTTCGCAAAGTATTGTGGTAAAATGTACAGCCGCCATCGTTTTTCCTGCGAAGGATTGAAATCACTTGCTTAGTTGTTAGCCGTCTCATTTCGAATAGCGTTTGCTCTTGACTACTCATTATAAGATACACGTAGATATATAATTATATGAGGAGTCATCCAATCATTCTCTCTCTAACCAGAGAACATATCCAATAAGTTATTGTGCCGTGCGTTTAGGTGTTGCGTGACTGATTGCGTGACAATTGAAGTAACGGCTGCGTCTCCAAAATCAAAATAGGTTTTAATCGGCAACCTTTGGGTGATCAGGTGCTTAGTTTAGTCTTAGAACAGCCATTGTAAAGCTGTTAATAATTCATGTAGATTTAGTTTTTTTCAACCCTTAACTTGCACCCGTAGGGTTTGGTACACTCTTATTTGCCCCAGACGGGGTCACGGAGATGTGCCGCGAGAGAGAGACCTCAAGTACAGTGTGGAATGTCATTATTTTGCGTCAAGGTAATTTTTATTTCTTTTACATTCCGAAAGGTATGTTTGGAAACAGTAGGTAAAAAGGAGAGAAAAATCCAAATGACTTTATTTGGCAAGAGGTCGATTTCCCTGGTTTGCTACAGATATTGAGCTAAGTATTCCATTGGCTTTTCAAATTCTTGAGGTCGTTATAACACATATATGCACGAAGAGGTCAACTTTGCCCATTACAGACAGGCTGTATGATATATGGATTTAACCAAGCCTAAAAGCGGAGCTCCTGATTGCAATAATTGTCCATAATGGAAAAAAAAAGGATTTGTTTTTCTTGGATCAGAAACTCAACAAATAATCAATTGTGAGCACGTAATTGTTCAGTGTGTGGTTTCGCTAGTTTTTCCAGTTAAATTTTAACAAATTGTACTCAATAGGCGTAACCAATTTTTCCAAGATTGTAGAACTGAATTACGTACGCAATATATCAGGGACTTTCCAACGGAAGATTGTGCAAGGAATTTGTTGGCAAATAAGTCAACGTAGAAACGAAAAGGGATGTTTAAAGATACTGTAAACAGCATTTTTCTTTGCCTACAGACTACTTGTTTATTTTTTAAAATGACTTAGATACGAAAGATGCAAATTTCACCATAGTAGCACTCGGCTTTAGTTCCCCGTACATTCACAGAGCGACTCCAATCTCGTTCCTCGAGTCTTCGATCGTTCCCAACAGCGCATGCTGGTTGACGAAACGAGCGACTCTCGAAGTTCCGTTAGATTTCGATTGGTTTTAAAAACAATGGAAATGGGCGGAAGTAAAACTCTAGTATGTCGATTGAGCCACGTGTTTGTCAACTAGACATGCGCAATTCAATCGGAAGTCCGATATTTTCGGACTTCAAATCGGATCTTTCCAGGGTCTCTTGTTTCTAGACGTTGTCCATGCTCCTCAAGGAACTCGTCCGTTACAATTCAACTTGTATTCTCATTGTATTCCTTCGTGCTCGGCTAGAAGAGAATAAGATAGGACGGGATAACCTTTAATTAAAAGCGATGGTTCGTTAAAACTTGAAGCTTCTGGCTATCGTCTATGAAAAATGAATTTGAATAGCAAATAAATACATACTTTTTTACAGGTACATACAAGCGGTACCACTTCACCTCTTTTCCCGCACATTGCTATTCCCTCCCCTTGGTTCCGTTCTTTGTTCTCCCCATGCTTTTCATATTTATCTCCCCGATCATTTTCTTCTGTTTCCATTGCATTCCAGCATTCCGTCCCCACTGGGTTAACTTTGGGTTCTTCGTGTACTCGCTGTGAGTTTCCCATTA